GCAAGTCCAATGTCCAAAGTCCAATATCCAGCAACTGTGAGCCGTGAGCAAACCGAGGGCCAGGGAGGAGAGGAAAGGCCGCACAGTAAGGAAGGCCTAGGGGATAGGCTAGGAGGCTGTGGCAACGGCCGCAAGGCCAACTGCCAGATCTTATAACACCCCATATCCACCAACAACCCCTCTATAAAGCCAGCCAAATGGAGTCTAAAAAATCCAGATGGAACAGGAGCACAGATGTTAAAAAAGCACTAAAAGCGGCCAGCAGCGTGCTCCAACCGGAATGGAGGTGCCTAGAGAGACTACGGCAGCCGAGGAATAAACCAGCTGCCCTGCCTCATCCAGCATCGTTCGAGTCACCCACCTCCTTCGATGGCAACAGGTCTCCAAAGGACAGGCAGACACCAGGGCTCCTCCCAGTCAGCGAGGAAATAGGGCTTAAACCAAGCCAAAATCGCTAAACACCACAAAAAGTCAATTCGGACTGTCTGCGGGTGGTTGAAACACCGGCAGCCTAGGACGCCGAAACAGAGCCCTCAGTGCAGTGCCGCCATTTCCCTCCAGGCTTGCTAGCGTCCTGAGGAACACTCCGGTTGCCACGCAAGCCAGGGGATGCCCGGGAGTGCCGACCCTCCAGGAAATCGTCTATTCAGGCCCTCTGGATCTCGCTCAGCGACGGGGACCCCCTTTTTTAAAGCTCTGAAGCAAACCGCCGGTTTATCCTGGCGTTTTTCTGCTCCACCGGACAGAACAAGGGAAGCCAGCGGCCATCCTCACCTCGCACATGCGCAGAAGACTGGCGTGGACAAACTTCTGCCTTAATGTATTCTTGGGTTTGAAGTGTGTATATATGTTGTGTTGGCTGAAAAGCCTCCTGAGCTTTTCCAATATTACTGCAACCTAAGGAAAGATGTTGCTTCATTTATTATTCACTTTGTTGTCTGTTATGGAGGAGCTCCTTAGGGTCTTTTTTAAATTTGATGAAGGCCTGCTTGGGATAGCGACATGTTGTGAGGACTTTCTTGATGTGTTTTCGTTCTTTTTCTTTCCCAGGCCTTCAGCTCGGTGGAATAGGGTTCTCATAACTTCCATTTTGTGCTCCAGTAGGTGGTGGAAATCAAATGTTAATATTCATCTGTATGTGTGGGTATTCTTTAAACTTCAATGTTAAGGCTTCTTTCTTCCTTAACATGTACTTCACAATCCAGGAAGGATAACCTATTTTCTTTAGCACCTTCCAGTGTGAATTTGATGTATCTGTCCAGAGAGTTGATATATTTGGTGAACACTTCGAATTCCTGTGTTTTGATCTTGACCCAAGTATCATCCACATACCCTATACCAGTGAGTGGATGGAATTCCTGTGAAGGAGTGTAGAGCTTTGATTTCTATCTCTTCCATATCGAGATTGACTAAAATGGGGGATACAGTAAACCCATGGCACAGCCATGTTTTTGTCTGTAGAAACATCATTGTATTTAAAATAGGTAATAGTCAAGGACAGGTCCAACATGGCACATATGGGGTTTTGGCTGAGGTTGGTTCTGTCACCAAAGGTGCTGTCTTGTAGCAGTCATTTTTTCATTACCATGACAGCTTTAGAATGCAGGTGAAGAGGGAAGTCACATCATAGGAAAAAGCACCTTTGGGACAACCATGACCTGGATGATTGAGAATCTCCATAGACCAATGATGGTGAATCTTTTCAGGCACCGATTGCCGAAACCGGAACTTGTGTGCATGCGTGCCAGAAACCCGAAGACCAGCTGGTCAGTGTGCATGCCGGCCAGCCGGTCTTTGGGGTTTCTGGCATATGCCAGTGCGCATATGCCTGTTTTGGGGTCATTTTTTGGGCTGTTTTCCAGGGCTTCAGTACCCACGAAGACCAACTAGTGACAACGCTTCTGGCACGCATGCCATAGGTTCGCCATCATGGCCATAGACAATGTTTCAGACAGATCTCTACAATTATCATTACAGAAAGCCTTTATTCGAAGAGAATTGACAGTTAAATCCACTGCTTTGATCAGAGATAAAACATTAGGTACTTTTTTTTTCTATATCAAGACCACTTTTGGTCTTTTTACTTGATAAAGAAAAAATGAGCTCAGATTTTGGGGTTTGATTACTAGATTAGTTATGGTTATAGAAATATTGGGTATAAGTATATACTTTATGTTCTTATTTATTTGTTTAAATTTAAAGTAGATGTATTATAAACATTTAAGAAATATGTGTGGGATTGTTCTTATGATACATTCATGGATTATTTGTTTTATTTAGAATTAAAGTTTATATTATATATTTATGTCATTATTTGATTGTTTGGAATGTATACATTTCATATTTAATGTTTTATTTGTTTTTCATTAAATTAAAATAAAAGTACTTTATCATGTATCCATCCCTAAGAGGATTGGAAGTAATTGTGTTAGTTTTTAAATATTCCTCATTGTTCACCCTGCAAATTTTCCCTTTTTATGGTAATTTTGTATTTCAAGTTTTACTTTTGAAAACCATTAAATCTGCTATATATAAAGCATACTACCACCATATATTGAAAACATTTCAGAAACAACCAATAGGCTATTACAACCATACAGCATCTTCTTAGAGCACAAACCAACTAAAGGCTTCCAAAACAACTTAAGCAAACCAAAACATCCACTAACCCAGGCCTGTCAAACTGGCAGCCCACTCTGGTTTCCGTAAAGGCAGAAAATGCCATGATACATCATGATCCAGCCCGACAGGATCAAATGTGACACTCCTGCACTAACCCAAGAACAACAACAACAACAAAAATAGGAGCCATGTATATCACATAATGTAAGGACTTTATAGCCATTAAGAAGAACAAACAGGCAGAAGACAAGCAGAGTGCATTCATGAATACCAACTAGCAGTCAGAAGCCACAAGAAAAATTCATTAATTACCTCTAATCAAGATTTGAACAATAATCCTAATCCAGAAACTAGCAAGAAGAAAACCATACCCATCAACAATGGCAGGGCAAGCTACTATACGTAATAGATGTGTGAATTAGATGGCCATATATATTTATCAAATAATAAATGAACAGGGAGCACACCTCACACTTACTAACACTGATGATGTCACCCAATTAAGTAATGAAGCGTCTGTAAGCAAACAACCAATCTTAGAGAATATTGATTCCACTTCCTTTCAGTTACAGCATTATTCAAATTTTATCTAAAGTATTATTCATTGTGGTATAGTTTTTTTCTTCCATTCAATCATATGTTTTGTCAAAAGTGATTTGTCATTGTCTCATTCCCATGGTTGAGAGAAAGTGACTGGCTCAATGTAATCCAACTTGCTTTGTGCCTCAGGAGGAAATATAACTGAGTCTCCCAATTTCTAATCTGATTCCATAACTAAACTGGCTGTCATAGTTCATTACTATTTACTATATATTACTCTGGTACTAGCACAACTTAGTATTCAACACTTCTTCAGCATGTTCCTACTACTGATCTTTTTTAGTTTGCTATATTATCAATGAGGTATTGAATTAAAATATGTTACTTAATTTCCTCATGAGGAAAGAAAATAATTTAATAGAGTTTGTAAGTAATGGCTTTTGCCTTTCTTTTTTCAATCCGATGTTCAATAATAATGGACAATTGCTTTTAACCAATTATTCAGAAGTGAAACATTAGATTCTGCCTAGTTACATGCATGAATATACTTTCACAAATTCTAAAATCTATAGAATTATCTGGGTAATTTTACAATTGAACATTCACTATTAAACATACTCGGCATCCATCCAGTAAATCCTCACGTGCTTGCAAAGAACTAATATTCAAGTTGTTCAGATCATCAGGTGAAGGATCCAGTCTGCTGTTCAAAACAGAACTATATGATGTTTCATTAATGTCACTTAAGTTGATATTTGAAATATGACTAACATCCGAAAGTGTTCGACCTTTAAAATTCAGACGAAAAAGTTGTTTATGAATTATTTTGGAACATTGCATCAATATATCAATTATAACTTACTTTCTAATTTCATAGAAGATTAAGCAAGAATAAAAATCATACTGGACATTAGTTAACTTTCATTCTCCATTAATTTCTTTCTTCTGTTATGCTAAGTGCAACATAGTTTGTTATCAATGCATGCAAAAAGCGCTTAGTATTTTCAAATGCTTACAAAGTAATGGCTTATTCATTTTTCAGGGAACATTATCTCAGGTTATGAATATTATTTTTAGGAAATACTGCAAAATGGAAATAGAAGAACATTGAAAGAGAAAAAAATATGAATTTGTTACTTTATTCAAGATAGTTTACATTAAACCTATTTTTATTTAACTCCATAACAACGTTAGTGGTCTGCCGGAGAAAGAAACAGGCCCAAAGGCATCCTGTAGTTTCCATGGCCTCCCTAGATTAACCCAACAATTCTTATATTAGCCCTCATGAAGAGATAGAATGTCATTCATAGAATTTCATTATAATGATTTCATATATTGTCATAAACATATTTTGTAAGACACGCTTTTCATCGTTCTACACATAATTTCCTTCACTGAAAAGATATTAGCCATTTTATCTTCAATAAAAACTTCTTTTTCCCAATGGGTTTTGATAGAATTGTGGACATAGGAGTGAAAACCAATGAAAAAAGATACTGGAAAATGTAGTTCAATCATAGCTACCAAATGAAGTAACTCATCTTGCTATTCAGTAGAGTTCTTCAAACCTTTTGAAAGATACACTGCAATTTGTACAAGCATGGCTGAAATGGGACAACTTGCTGCAGCCAAATCGCCATGGTGAACTCAACACAGCCAACTCACTATTGCCAACTTGCCACAGGATAACTCACCGCAGGACAATTCAACAATTCAATTTAATCATTTAAAATATTTTAAAATATTTTAATTTTTGTCATTTACATTTCATTTTGTCCCAGTTTGGTATCCTTTCTTTAATGATTCTATTTCCCTATTTTTTCAATATTAGTGTAATTCTTGTCCTGTGGTAAGTTGGCTCTGGCAAGTTGGCTATGAATTGTCATGGATTCTGTCTAAAACATCTCTTTTCAAATTAATAGAACAAATTTATCTCTTGGGGGGCTCATATGAGTGCAAAAAGATATAGTTGCTTTATTGATTTGAATAGGTTTTCAAATACATTTCCACACTATGCACCCTTTTTAAAGATCATGTACAGCCTTATTTAATTTCTGTGCTGCCTCTATCACTTAGAGACAACTTTAGTGATTTATAATCAATAAATGCAACTATATGAATGTTAAAACAATAAATAAAAACAATAAACTATCTTAAAATTAATAAAGATTGGAAGGGAACAAGATACACATGAGGAGGAAGCGGGGTTTTATTTTAGCCCTTTAACCACATCCAGAATGATATACCCTCATTGAAACCTCGGATTTGTTGGCAGAGTCAGATCTTTAAGTCCTTTCAGAAGGCCAAAAGAATGAGTGCAGTTCTCACTTTGGCACAATATTCCAAAAGCAGAAGCCATGGCAGAAAAGGTTTTTCTTGCACTATAACACTAGGGGCTTCAAGAACTGTCCATGCAGACAAACTTCATGTGAATTGTAGATTCCAAATATGTCTCAAGAATAACCCCATTTAGAGCAAGGGGATGGCTAAAGGGGAAGTTGAGATATAATACAGGTAGTTGACTTATGATCACAATTAAGACCACAATTTCTGCGGCAAAGCAATTTTTAAGTGAATCCTATCCAATTTTACGATTGTTGTTGCCATAGTTATTAAGTGGATCATTTGCAGTTGTTAATAATTCAGTTAAGCAAACCTGGCTTTGCGGTTGACTTTGCTTGTCAGAAAATCAGAAAAGGTGATCACATGATCCCAGGACACTGCAATTGTAATATATACATGCCAAGTACCTGAAATTTGATCACATGTGGGGATGCTGAGATGTTTATATGTCAAAAACTACCTGTACTTTGTTAAAAGACTCATTTCTTCTACTTAAAAATGTAACAAAAATAATCTGAGCATAGCATCCCAAAATAAACAGCCCCAATAGAATTGAGACCTTCGAAATATATATGGGCCAGTACTTTCCTAAAAACAAACAAATGAATAAATAAATGAATAAAAAAATAAATTATGCAATCTTAAGTCAATTAATAATTATAAATCTAGATAATATAGGAAATCTGTCCTTTTGTATTATGTGTATCTGTATTACTTACTGTCTGGCTTGCTAGCTTGACTTGTAGGAGTTGAAGTGCTTGGTGCACTATCTTGCTTTGTGCTAGGAACTATTAAATACATTGATTCATCCTGGCAAAATCTCTTTTCAATGCTGTCAAAAAACCACTGCATGGATATACAATGAACATTCCACCTTTTTGCACATTCATATTTCTGACCTTTCCCAAGAAGAGACAAAATCATAATAAATAATACATATTTCAATTCTTCTGAAGTCTGTAAACTACATGAACATAAATATATGAAGCAATATTTGTACACATTTTCTTCAATATACTAAATCTTTTTGCCCCAATTAGTTCTTTGTTCTGTAACTATCTACAACATTGTGACAGGAAATTTGGAATAAAGAAAGGCTCCTTACTCTAAAACTACAAACTGTACTTATTAGCTAAAATGTTAGAGACCTTATTCTATATACTTTTAAAAATCAACTTTAAAGTCTGCACTCACAAACTTATTTTTAGACTACACTGAAACATAAAGTGCTTACATTTTCCTTATAAAAATGATTCCTTAGCTATACTGATACAATATAGCTATGTCTGAGACTTTTTGCACATGCAATTATGTATAAGTAGGTCATCACAATGGCAATATATCATTAACAAAAAGAGGCTTTATATTGCAACACCAATGGCTGGATAATGCTATGTATCATTAGAACAGAATGCCTTTCTATTAAGCCCTACCTGCTGCATCAATAAAATGTCATGAACAACCAATGAGGCTCAACATTATTTTCTATTTGGTTTTAATTTTATATACCTAAACTGACAAATTCAAACGTGTCCATGAAATCACCCTTACAATTAATTTAATTCAGTAAGTAGGAAAAAAATGGGATTGGATCCACAAATTACTGATAGGAAAATCACATGTGTGAATTTGCTCTCTGAACACTCTAGCAACATAAAGGGAAATCTTCTATTTGTATGTATAAATCTTGCTTGCTTCCTTCCTTCTCCTCATTAAGGAAAGTTTCTAACCATTCAAAATAGATTTTTAAGTTGCAGATGAAAAGGCTTCTTCCATTTGCCAAAAGTGAGGTCTGGATGCAAGGTCAGACAGCTTTGATTTTTTTAGTTCCAGTATTAATTTTCTGATTAGCATATTCAGATCAATATGATTTGCTAAATAAACCTGAAAAAATTCAGTCACCCTAGCCTATCATTTCGATTTAGCAGACTGTTATTCAAAATTGCCACTGTTCTTATACAGAAGACCTACACTATAAAAAACTATAGAACTGTCAATAGCTACTTTTTCAGTAGCCTAATATGCAGCTTTATCTCAAGAGAACTTATATTTTTTTATCTATTAAGGCTAAGTTAACTACAATGTATTCATCCTTTAAAATTTTTCTTTAAAGATGTTTCAGAAATTTAAGCCTATATTGAAAATAATCACTCTATTCTTGAGAATTGTAATCAGATACGTTGCTAACTGGTGTGTTTTCAGGTTTGATTTAAAATGCTGGCGTCAACTTTTAAAGTTCTGAGCACTTTTAGATTGAGTTACCTAAAACATCTATTCCATCATAATACTTGCAAGCCTTCCTTGTAATTAATCAGATATTTATTACAGTCAGTGACCAACCTTTCTTCCGTGTTACCTATAATACAAGTAGGCATATATAAAGAAAAGGACTTTGTTAGATATAATCTGCCACTCTTACACAGGGAATCTGCCACATCCCTTCATTACAGCTTCCAAGAAAATTGTATAGATTTATCCCTTTATATTGGTTTATAATTGTGTTTAGCACTCTACTTGACTGTTCCACATATGAAGCCTTCTGATTAAGTATTTTATCATTGCTTTTATTATTATTTTTAACCTTGTGTTTATGTATTATGCTTCCAAATTCTGTTGCATGATTTGGTGGAATTTATTCTAAAAGAATACATTAAATATATTTTAAAATAAATCTAATTTTGTTGTAGACACTTTCTCTTTCCTTAAATATCAAAATCCTTATAATAAATGTAGGGAAAATGAGCAAAAGGTCACATGAAATTCAGAAGTACAACCTTAACATAAAGACAGTGGAGAAAAATTAAAATAGTATTTGAAGAATTCTAAATTAAGTTTAAAACATTTTATTTTCATTGCTATAAAAAACTATAGTCAGTTGAAGTACTACACAAAAATATCACTAACACAATTAGTTTGCAGCAAATCCAGTAGAAAGTAATATGAGGGTACATTCTATGTTCAACTTTTAAGCCTAGTACAAAGTGAAATCTGATTCTCAATCTGCAAATATTTACACAAACACAAGCCTCCTCCTGAACTCAATCTAAACAAAAATTCAAAGATTTCTTTTTTACCTTTTGGTTCTTGAACAATAAGATGAGTACATTCATTCATCTTCAGTTGCCCTGTATATTGACCACCATTCTCAGTGGTGAGACGCTGGACTTCTTGTCTATCCATGCTGCTTAAACCAGTTACGCAGATTGTACAACCAAGAAATGGAGGGCACAGAAACTCTCCCATATTTATATCTGTGTATCTAGTGATCCTTTTGAAAATAAGAATAATTATATCTCTTGATCATTCTTTGTAAAATCAGTGGTGAATGAAGACTTATTTGAGTAGACAATGATGTTAATGCATCTAATTCAGAGGTGTGCTACTCTGATTTTAACTGATATGGGTGAGGTGGGGTTTGGAGCCACAGTCCAAAAGTTACATCAGACTAGAACTAGGAATAAGCTTGATGTAAATTAAATGGACAGTCAATTTGATAGTGATTAAGGCCTCAAATTACAACATGGGAGCCTTTGAATTTAGTCCTGCCTTAGGCATAAAGACACCTGAGTGACTTTAGGCCAGTCATTTTCTCTCATCCCTAGGAAGAAAGCATGAACAAACCACTTTCAAAAGTATTCCCATGAAAACTGCAGGGACTTAACTACTAGCAACTGGCTGGACAAGGCTGTCTTAAGGCACAAAAATATATATAACTACATTACAGTTAATAAAATCATTCCATACATATATAATTGTCCTTTCTGTCCCATTAAAAATAAGAATTTGTTGGGAATTTTTGGAGTGACACTGGTGCTTACACTCAAGTATATGTTTGGTCTGGCTTAAGACGTGCTTATTTTAATGGGTTTATTTAAAACGTGATTAAATTTTGATCCAGGACAATAAGAATTCTGTATGAATAATTGAAAAGAATACAGATTTGATCATATAAATTTTCCCCATCAACGGTTTTTTTTTTTCTTTGTAGAATTTCTCATTAAAGCATGACCCTTTTGCAACAAGAATGTTAATTCTTTGTTAAGAAATATTGCAGGTCAGAATTGTTCAGGTAATCCAAATGCATACACAATTATATTACCTGCGCTGTGATTTATCCCATAGTGTTTTTATCCAAATGGGAAGCAAAATGGGTTTTTTTAAATTAGCAGCAACTAAGTATTTCTTGCTTCCAACTTCTCCAGCTATAAGGTGGGTTACTAATACATTAAGATCTCTGTATACACGACCACCCATCAACTGTACATATTCATGGACTTCCTCCTATAGAAAAAAACCACCAGTAGATATAAGTAGGAATCAAATAAAGCTGCTAGTTATTTTCAGCATAAACACCACCACATTTTAATAATTTTCATACAAGTGTAACTAAATCAACAGTGTTCTATTGTTCATTCACACATTTACACTGATAAATTTGAGAAGATTCAGAAAAGTTATAAAACTTATATAAACAGTAAAAGAACCTGGTGAGAATAACTTAGGACTGAGATGAAAAAAAGTATCTTGAAATATTTGAAATATCACTTAAAAATCACCCTGCTCTTGCCATGATTTTAACCAATCATGTTATACCTTAAAGATATTAAAGGAAGGCAATTTATTTCTAAAACAACTTATGTGTGAAAGTAGGATTGAAGAGTTTTTAAAGTTACTAAACATCTGTTGAAGGTATTTTGGGTAAAATAATAAAGAAATCTGATCCCTTTTATTTTTAATTGTATGCTTCTGTATCTATTCTATCATTTACCATATTTATAAGACTATAAGATGTTCCACAGTATAAGACACATCTAGCTTTTGGAAAGGAAAACAAGGGGGAAAAAATCTGCCTCTGCCTCCTAGCAATTTGCCTCCATGCAGCAAACAGCCTGGTCAGCTTCAGCACAGCCTGATTTAGCACGAGCAGCTGATTGGTGGTTGGCTTGGTCTCCCGGAATACCATCGATCAGCTGTTCCAGGATGCGGGGATCACCGCCACCCAATATCGCCTCCATGCACCGTTTTTGGCCTCTGCATGCCCCATTTTTGGCCTCCCCACATCCCGTTTTCAGCCTGTTCCATGCCTTGAACAGGCAGAAAACAGGATGCGCAGAGGCTGAAAATGGGGTGCGCGGAGGTGGCAGCGATCCTCGTAGCCTGGATCAGCTGATCAGCGGTATTCTGGGAGTCAAATTCAACTGCCAATCAGCTGCTTGTGCTAAATCAGGCTGTGCTGAAGCTGGCCAGGCTGTTTGTTGCAAGGAGGCAAATTACTGGGAGGCAGAGGCTGAAGGATGGGCAGGACTTTGGCAACATTTGCTTATAAGACGGACAGACATTTCCCCCCACTTTTTGGGGTGTGTGTGTGTGTGTGTGTGTCTTATAGGCCGAAAAATATGGTAATTGATAATTAACATGACTAGAAGCCAAATATAATTTTATAAACACTGAGAAGATAAACATCATCTCTGTATCTGAATTCTATATTTATGTAATATTTTACCCTTGTTTCCTTTGGAAGACTTGTACAAGATATTGTTACATCAGCCATTGTCATATTAAAAACTGGATGGTCAGCCTTTGGAACGCATCGTTGATTCTGCATACAGTAGATAACTACCTGTGGTCCCACAATCCTACAACCAAGCTGAAAAAGATAAAGCAAGAAAACTAATAGGGCTCTTTTTCACAAAGCAATTTTCTAGCCCCTTACATTATCTAAAACAATATCCATGCAGATAGCCTGGCAATTTTTGAAAAGATCAATAAATTCAAAGTCATCTTTTTCTCTCAAACTACATACACATACTTAAATAAGTATGGCAGAAAGAAAAATTGGCACTAAAAGATTAACCCATACTACATCATCATTTATTGGTTATTTGTTTAATAGTCAAATACAAAAAAAGGGAATCATCAAAATTCAGTACACTGTCATTCATCAATTTTGTCTCCCAGTGATGGCACAGTGTTTATACCTCTACTGATTTTCCACTTTTTATACAATTTTCAAAGGTACACTTTACCAAGGTATGACAAAAAATAACAATATAAAAAATGCAAACCTTTTGAAGATGATTAAAAACAATGCCACTAAACTGATCACATATATAAAGGGATTTGTCATTCTCTTGTATTTTAAGTGCAGCTTCCTTATCAAGAATCTGAAGACATTCTTCTGATTGAAATTCTTTGATGGACTGCAAAATACACAAGCAGCAAATAACTCACGGCAAAAAGCATTCCCTTTACTCCCAAACCATTTTCTCAAAAGCACTGCTATCCAATTTCTAGCAGCTTAAGAGCCAAACTGAATTGTGCAGCATGGTAAATATGAACAAGGCCGGTTTTCATTTTATTTCTGTCCCTTTATTATTTTTACAAATGACTCAAGGCGATGCACATATCTAACACACCTTTCTCCACCTGTTTTTCCCACAACAACAATCCTTTGAGGTGAGTTGGGCTGAGAATGAGTGATTGGCTCAAGGTTATCCAGCTGGCTTTCAGGGTCAAGGCGGGACTTTTACTAGTGATCTCTCGCTTTCTAGTCTGATGCCTTAACCACTAGATCAAACTAGACTAACCAAACTTTAATGTTATTACTGTAAAATTTAACTTTAAATGTTGTTTTATGTTGAAGGAAGTAGAAAATTTGTTTTCAAAGAATATAGTTTTCAATAGGTAACATGTCACTGAAATATTTTTCTTATACTATGTAAAATGCTGCAGGCTTTTGCAGTAAGTTGAAGTGGTATTGCTAAGGCTTTCTCAATAAAGCTAAATTCATTTTAGTCTTTGCTGTGATTGACAATATTCATAATTATCTGTTGCCAAGTTTACAAACCTTGTGGTTTTTTAATGGAGAAAGAATTGTATAATTTATATGAAGCTTTTCTTTCATTGACATTGACTGAGTAGAGCAAGAATCACTGTACCCAAAATTTCAAGAACACCCAGGGATATAACTTTATTTAACAAATACTATTTAAAATTAAAGACAAACACTTTATACTTGTTCATGCAAAATTACTATTTTATATTTTAATAAATTTAAAGGTTCCTCATGCACATATGTGCTAGTTGTTCCCGACTCTAGGGGAGGGGGGTGCTCTTCAGTTTCAAAGCCGAAGAGCCAGCACTGTCCAAAGACATCTCCGTGGTCATGTGGCCGGCATGACTAAATGCCAAAAGTGCACAGAACGCTGTTACCCTCCCACCAAAGGTGGTTCCTATTTTTCTATTTGCATTTTTACATGCTTTCGAACTGCTAGGTTGGCAGAAGCTGAAACAAGTAACGGGAGCTCACTCTGTTATGCGGCACTAGGGCTTTGAATCACCAAACTGCTAACCTTTCTGATCGACAAGCTCAGCATCTTAACCACTGAGCCACCCTTTTATATTTTAATAAACAAATCTAATTTGATTCAATTCAGTTGTACTTAGGATAGACCTACTGAAATAATAGGACAAAGTTAGTCGTAACTAAATTCTTCCTGTCTAGTTATTATGAAGGAAAAGAGAGAGGTACTAACAAATTCCTGCTATAAAGAAAACAAATTTAATGATTATAACTAATTTACCAGACAGTTTTAAACACATTAAATAAGCATACCTCAAGGGCTTGAAGAAAACACTCTGAACTTTCCAGAGTTTTTATAAACTTCACAAAATACGGCTCCTTGCTCTCTTTCATTATTTAACTAATAAAGAAAAAAGAAAAGTCAATAAAAAGCTGATCAATGGAACAATAATCTGTATTAAAGGGACAATAATCTGGATCATTCTGTATCCTAGGAACATTTTAGGTGTTTTGACTGTCAATATTTTTATAAATCAAGTAATGGTCAATAATATTAAAAACATATTTTGTTTGTTATAATACAAGTAACCCTCGACCTTCTTCATTTAGTGATTGTTCAAAGTTACAACAGCACTGAAAAAAGTGACATAATCATTTTTCATACTTACGAACATAGCAGCATACCCATGGTCAAAATTCAGATGCTTAGCAACTGACTCATATTTATGATGGTTGCAGTGTCTTGGGAGTCAAATGATCACTTTTTGTGACCTTCTAATAAACAAAGTCAATGAGGAAGCCAGATTCACTTAACAATCCTGTTACTAATTTTAACTGCAGGGATTCACTTAACAATTGTGGCAAGAATAGTTGTAAAGGGAGGCAAAATTCATTTAATAATGGTCTCATTAAGCAACAGAAATTTTGGGTTCAATTGTGATCATAGGTCAAAGGCTACTTGTACAGGCAAAAATCACAAATCCCATTAGTGATGACTAATCCTATCATCTAAAGAAGTGGCCTCGAATCTTTTTGATACCAGGGACCGATTCTGCGGATAAAGGTTTTTCCACGGACTGGAGGAGCCATGGTTTTACCTCCTGCTTGCATCCCACAGTCCAGTTTCTTGGCATTCTGTGGCTTGGTGCCAGGCAAAAGAATGTCACAAGACCAGAGGTTGGGGACCTCTGCTCTAAAAACCATTTAGACCAGGGATGTCAAACTTGATTTCATTGAGGGATGCATCAGGATTGTATGACCTCATGGGGGTGGAGTAGCCTTGGCCAGTGTGGGCATGGCCACCTCAATGTCACTCGTGTTGGGGACACCTGTGGGGGCCCGAGAGGTCTGCCAACAAAAACGGGCTCCCGAGCTCCATTTTTTGGCTGCAACGGCCTCCTGCAACCCTATGTCAGTGAAAACAGGAACTCGTGAGGACCCACATGTGGCCCTCCTGAGCTCTATTTTCACTGGCAGAGGCCCCGCTGGCTGGTCCTTCCAGGGCGGCCCCATGGGTCAGATCTAAACACCCCGTGGGCTGGATCTGGTCCCCAGGTCTTGAGTTTGACACTCCTGATTTAGACTGACATTAACTATCTGTAAAATAATTATTATTTGGGTAACTTTGAAACATTTTTTAAACCAATGTAAAGTTGCTGCTCTAGGAGCAAATACAAGGAGAGCACTACAAATGGGACCTTAATTTTCTATATTAAAGGTAAATAGAAATCTAATACATAAGAAAATAAATGGTTCTTTTTCTACTTCTTGTACTGCCAGTATAGGAAATCTAAAAGTCTAGATCTTCCCTAAAGAGCTACAGCAGACAAATACATTTGATAAAGTCTTAAGGGAAATATATAATTATAAAACAACTGATTGTAGCATACTATTTTTATATGGGTAGATGTTCAATGCTCCCTAAGTATAAAATCATTCAGAGTAGAGAAGTAAATGGAAAATCAAGAGGTTTTTTTGCAAATCATTGTAATTTGGCTCAAGGCTTCTCAAACTTTCCTATGCTAAATAAAAAGAAATAAACAAAAAAATCTTCAATGACTGGCAGAGGATTTTTGATACATGGTTATTCCTGCAGGTTTAACCATTTTTAAAACTTGCTGTTTTGTGCAGCTCACACAGACTTGTTTATTATGCAAAATATTGGAAAGAGAGATGATGTAATAATGTAGTAGCATGGATTTAAGACTTATATTTTACAAGTATAAAACCATCTCAAAAATGGAAGAAGTCTCAGAAAGAGAAATAGGATTAGACAAGTAAGAAGGATCCTTCTTCTCACTCCTCAGAAGTCCTGAGCAACTCGTTTTTCTGTCATCCCTGTTCTAATTTGGGACATATATCCCAGCATTCCCACTTAGGTGACCTGCTGAAAATTCATGAAGGCTTGGGGTGATTATGGAAGATATACTTTCACACACTTGAAAGGTTCAGGATCAAATAAAGTCGCCTTAAAAGCTTTAGTACCCGAGATAGATGGCGATTTGACTTGGGAAAAAGAAAAACTTATCCCTAATTTCAGACATGGGCGACGATTCTATACTCTCCGCCCACTTCAGAAATTGCAGTAGAAACCGATCTACAGAAAAGGAGGAGACGGAAAAGAGCAGGAAATTTAGAGGAGAGGCAGACAGAAACGGTGCGAGACAAAATTCTTACGTCTCTTCCCCCTGCCCGCCCCCCAACTTCGGCCTTCAGTCAATTACCTTCCTCGTAGTCTTTCCAAGAATTCTAATCTTCTGCAAGCTGGCGGGAAAGACCAGGACGCCAAGCCACGCATGCGCAAAAGGTACTAAACCTCTTGCCATTCTTGATTACGTATTGTCATGTGACTAAGAATTAAGCCGAACTATCCTTAAAGGTGCCGCAGAGCGGATGGAGACGGGCTGCAAAAAAAAAAGTTTCCGGGAGTTTGCGGCTCCTTTAAGCGTTAAGAGGCGGGAATTAATTTATGCGATTTAAGCAAGATTTCCGGTGAGTTTTTGTAATGAATTTGTTTTGATGAAATATTTGTTTATTCTTAATTATTTTTATTATACATTTTCCTTTATTATACATCACATTTCCAGGTGTGCAACAACAGTGTACTGGCTGTATCGTCCTTTTTAAGTATTTATAGTATTATAAGAGCCAAGGTGGCGCAGTGGTTAAATGCAGCACTGCAGGCTACTGCTAGATCAGCAGGTCAGCGGTTCAAATCTCACCGGCTCAGGGTTGACTCAGCCTTCCATCCTTCCGAGGTGGGTAAAATGAGGACCCAGATTGTTGGGGGCAATATGCTGACTCTCTGTAAACCGCTTAGAGAGGCCTGAAAGGCCTATGAAGCGGTATATAAGTCTACTGCTATTGCTATTGCTATACACCCTGATTATAACCATTATTCTCCTAGTCATACAGTGTAGTCTCCTTTAAATACATAATGTTGTACATCACAGTTACAACCATTATTTTCCTAGTGATACCATAACGCTCTATACATTTAACACTATACGTTTTAATCTATAGTCATGTACAGTCCAATAGTAATATTGCTTACAGTATGTGTGTGTGTGTATGTATGTACACACACATACATATACACACACACACACACACACAGCATTTATTTCTATTTGTTAATTTTCTTTCGTTATTAAGTTACTAATCTCTGCACCTGTTTTCTAACCATTTGTACAATAAGTCCCATGTTAGGTAATACTGTTTCCTCTTTATCCTTAAGTTCCATCCTTAACTTGTTCCAATTCAGCACATTCTAATATTTTCTTTATTACCATTTCATCTATAGGTATACTTTCGTTTTCCCAATTTTGTGCATATGTGATTCTAGCTACTGTTATTACATGTAACATTAAATATGTGATTCTTTTATTGTATTTCCCTGGTAGTATATTTAGTAAGAGTAGTTCTGATTTTAGATCTATTTGTTGTGATATCTTCTAACCCCCTTTTTATCTTTGACCAATATTTTTTTGCTGTTGGACAGGTCCACCACATATGATAGTAGGATCCTGGTACCTGTTTAAGTTTCCAACACACTGGTGACATATTTGGGAACATTTTTGCCAATCTTGCTGGTGACAACTATCATCCATAAAAACATTTTGTACAGGTTGTACAGGTTGTAACGATGTTGACATCGTTAATTTGTAATTTCTTTCCCACAATTTTTTGTCAATTATCTAATTCTGTAGTATACCCCAAAATTTTTGACCATACTATCATGGTTTCATTTCCATATTCTTCTTCCATTTTAAGATTCAATAGGTAATTATAGATTTTCTTTATTAATTTTTCATCTGTCTCTAACAGTATCTCATCCAGTTCTTGGGGTTCTTATAAAATCCATTTGTGTTTGAATCTTTCTTATGTCTCTTTTGTATTTGGGCCACCAGCCCAAGTCAATTCCCTGATTTTTTAATTCCTATTTTGATTTTAAGCCCCCTTCTTCATTTAGTATATCTTTGTATCTTACAGTTTTTATCCAGATTTAAAACATTAGGGTGTATTAGCCCTTCCATCATAGATAGCCAGACTGGTATTTTCACATAGTGATTTTGTTTGATTTTTTCCCCCCATACTAACAACAGAGCATTTCTGATATAATGCCTTTGGAAGTATCTATGTGGTTTACTTTTCCCGTACCATGCAAATGAATACCACCCCAATTGTAAATCATGCCCTTCTATTGTGAATAGTCTTTTGTTCTTCAAATTTATTCACTCTTTCACCCATGTGAGCACTAAATCCTGGTGATACAGCTCCCAGTTCGATAGCCGAAACCCTCCCTTGTTTTTGGTATCTCATAGCATTTTCAATTTGATTCTTGGTTTTTTGCCTTCCCTAATGAACTTTAACATCACTCGTTTAAATCCTCAAAAAACCTTTTTCCTAATTTTATCGGAATTAAAATAAAAATAGCAATTTTGGTAGAATATTCATTTTTGTTATAGCTATCCTTCTGACCAACGACAGCTGTAGATATTTCCATTTGTCCTGATCTGTCTTTATTTGCTGTATTAGTTAGTATAGTTATCTTCTTTTATGAACGTATCTCTTGCTGTTAGCCAAATTCCCAGATATTTAACTTTTTTAGTTATCTGCATGTACATCTTTTCCATCACTTCAATTTTCTGTTTATTTGTAAAGTTCTTTGTCAATGTTTTGGTCTTTTCCTTGTTTATTTTAAATCCTGCCATCTCACCAAACTCTTCTATTTTCTTTATTTATTTGGGTCCTATTTCTAGGGTCCTGTTTCTTATTTATCCAAAATAAATACTAGGTCGTCTGTGAATGTTTATACTTATATTGTTCTTTTTTTATCTTCAAACCTTTTATTTCTGGGTCTTGTCTGGTCTGTCTAAGTAAGACTTCCAGGG